CGATGATGTGCTGGGCTTCTGCAGTTATGCATGCGTGAGAGCTACGTCTAGCTGTGTGTGAGGCTTCAAAATGACGACAACACTCAAATCATCACCTTCATGAAGCTTTCGTAGATTCTTAAGAGGGTGGGCAGGTCACCCTCGTACGCCGAGAAGCTCCGGTGGGCCTCGTGCGCCGCTCGCTTGGCCTCCTCCTGCCGAACCACGACAACATGACAACACGGCCAGCAACAACGACAGCAGCAGCAACAACAATATCAGCACGGTGAACACGACAACATGACCAGCAACAACAACAGCAACAGCAACGAAACACGGTCAACGACGGCAACAACAACAACAACAACAAAGACCGAAAGGCACGGTTTGCGGTTCCACTAAAATATTGTCATTTCATCCTACGGCGCTTCACAAGATACGCGCACCCGTTCCCTACAGCAGTCGGTATACCAGGCGGTATTGACACCGGCACTCGGGGATAACGAAATGATGAAATCATGGAATCTTGGAAACCCGCTCAACAGAAGCTAAGGCTTCCCTGTTACGTCGCAAGCCCACATGGTCAGAGGGGACAACGAACCCTCTACGTGCCCGTCGCAAGCAGCATCATTTTTTTATTTTTCTCAGAAACACATCGAATCCATCCATTCAAAATGCGCATGATAACGGTCCTCGCAAGGTCATCTCAGACCCTACACGCGGAACGTAAATATTTGGCGAAGCAGCAAAGCATCCAGCACGTGTGCGGCGCTTGGGCTCGAGCCCGTGCCATTGTGGCGACCACCCTTGTACACTACCGTATACGACATGACGCAAGATAACACACTCCCTGGACCGACTTTCAAAGCTCGATTACACCTCGACCAAGAACATAAACGAAACCATACATTTTGGGAGAGCTTTCGACGAGACGGCTTCAACGCCGCCGTTGTCGGCGCTGTGATTCTCTCTGCTTTTGATAAATCGGTCTTTGAAAATCGGTCCAGGGGATGTGCTATCTTGTGTCGTATACAGTAGCCCCATGGCAAGCTCGTAGGGATCCCCGGATGCTACACGACCCGGACCACAGAAGTGGCCCGCACGTACCGTAGGTCGCGTAAGATATCACATCCCCCTTGACCAATGTTTGAAGCTCGATAACAAGGTAGGAGAAGCAGCGATGGCGCCGACAAAATGGCGACGTTGGAACCCTCTCGTCGAGAGCTTTCCGACAAAGTAGTCCTTTGGTTTTAGCATCCTCTTCGTCGTGGAGTTATGAAGCTTTGAAAATCGTCCCAGGGAGTGTGGTATCTTACATCATGCAACGGTAACAACTTTGGTAAGCACTTGAGCCTCGAAATTCCTAAAAAAAAACTTGGTCATCAGAACAGGTACTCAGCCAACATTAAAACCTATATAGTCGTCGTGGGGGTATTGTACCCCGTAGACAAAATCAGATCGAGCCTCAGCCAAAAAATAGGTTCTTTAGTGCGGGCCTTGTAACTGTATTGGTAAAACCTTCTGTCGCATGGGGCACAAACAACGAAGCCAACCAACCTTGGGAGGATAGAAGAGCAGGTTCTCTGCCGACAGGCAGGCCACGGTGGTCAACACCTCCTTCACGCAAGAGAACCTAGGCTCCGCCGACCTGAAAAAAAGGGGAGTGGCATCCGAGTGGTGACCGAGAGATGGCCAAGAGACGGCCAGCTTGGCGAGAGTCATTTTCTTGTTTCATCACTTTGCATCAGCGGTCACAGCAATTCTGCTGGGTAGGAGAGCTCGAATCCGTGGTCAGTGACACAGGAGGGTTCCTCTCCCTCCACCCTCCCCCTCGTGGCGATGCTTGCCTTCGATGTTCAACGCATTACGGCAAAAAACAAATTTCATGCGTGTCTAGGTCGGCAAGAGTCCGTGTGACAGTCGCACTGATGCCCAATTTTCAAGGAGAAACAGGACGTACTAACAGAAGGGAGACAAGAACAATCATGACGACAGCAGCAACCGTGTGCTGCATGACTCTGTGCCGAGGAAACCTGGGCCACCAACGGTTTGGTGCTGCCCTTCATATACAGCTGGGCTCCAACAGGCCTTACCACGGCGTCATCTATCTGGGGTCAAGGTCAAGCAAGAGGGGATTACAAAAAAAACACACCAACAAACGCAATGTGTCTTGTCTTTTTGGAGCATGAGGTAACCGAATTCTTTGGTTGCATACCGGCGTTAAATACCGTACACAACGAAACAAAACGCCCCCCGGTGATATCTAACACTTCGCCTTCTAGAGTACTACCAAGTGGGTTAGCTGTGCGGGGAGTGTAGCACCTCATGTCGCCCTAACAATTCTTGGTCTGGAAGCAGTTTGATACTTATGGCTCACATTGACCCGCACCAGAATTCCCACCGGATGTGGTTTTGTGTGGGGGGGGTGTTATCCAATGTGTGTGTTGCCCTGTGTCGTATACAGAATACAACATAAGACAAAACACTCCCTGGACCGATTTTCAAACACCGATTTCTCAACAGCAGGGAGAATAACAGCGCCAAACACGGCAGGGTTGAAGCTGTCTCGTCGAGAGCTCTACCAAAATGTATCGTTTCGTTTGAACTTCCTCTTCGTGGAGTAATCGCGCTTTGAAAATCGGTCCGGGGTGTGTGTTATCTTACGTCGTAGCACAGCAGTACGAGCGCACGGACCTTACGAGCAAGTGCGCAAAGGCCGGGTCCAGCGGCAGTGCCGCCATCTTCTTCCCGTCCGGGGTGACCCTGGCCGACTTGTCCAAGGCGCCGAGCATGGCCAGGGTCTTGAGGGCCTTCAGCAGCGCGGCGCGACTGGGGGCTGTAACGTAGTCGAAGGTGGAAGGGTCGTCTATGCCCATCACCTTCAGCTGTAGCACGACCTGGTGGCCGGCGATGTGTGCACGAGAGGTTGAGAATGGGTGGAGTTATTGCTAAGCTGAGAGGGGCACCAGGGTACACGCGGCCGAAATAAAAATGGTCTACTCGATGATGGCTCTAGACGGAGAGAGAGAAAGCGCGCGCGCGCGCGAGAGAGAGAGAGAGAGAGAGAGAGAGAGAGAGAGAGGAGGAGGAGGAGGAGAGATTGAGAGGGATTGAGAGAAACAAACAGACCGACAGATAAAGAAGATAGAGGTGAACAGAGAGAGAGAGATGTACCAAAAACAGGTGTACAGAGAGGGAGCAAGCGAGAGACAAAATGTGGCCGTTCCGGAGCATGTTATTTCGATAGTTCAGGAGAAATAACCAAGAGCACCGGCCATCGTTGGCACGCCAAGCCTTCGACCACGTGATCACGAGGAGGGCCGAATGCGACGGGGTGGGTAACCCACTCACCAAACTACCATGCCACCATTACACAGTACAGGCTTTACCGGCAGCAGCGTGTACAGAGACGGCGCTGCCGTCTGGTCCGACCTACTCGGCACGCCTGCCATGCGGTAGAGCTTCTCCGATATAGGTGTGGTGGAAAAGCAGGTGCATATTTAATACCCCGGTTCATGCGTTCTACCAGTAGCACTCGCTCATCTTACCGCCACGCGGTTTCCTACTCCTGCACGAGGGGTACTTCTGCAACGGCGACACCGCGCGATCAACCAGATTATCAGCACCGCTGCTGCTGCTGTTGCTGCCGCTGCTGTTGCTGCAGCAGCAGCAGCAGCAGCAGCAGCAGCAGCAGCAACAGCAACAGCAACAGCAACAGCATCAGTGACAGCAGTAGCACCCTAGCACGAATTCCTTACCTGAGCAAGGTTGACCCTGAGAATCTCCGGTATAGGCGCGTCGCCCAGCTCTAGGTACGAGTCTTCCCTGTGCGCCACCCAGCGCAGACGCAACAAACGACAGGCAAAAAGGTCTGTTCAATATCGATGTCTCATGTAGAAGAAGGGGACATCTCCCCCTCAGCGCAAGCAAGGATATTATGTGGTACGAGAGAGAAAGAGAGAGGGGTGATCAAAAGTTGCCCGAGCTATGGAGAATCAGCGGGGCACGTGGTCAGAGTCGTCGACCCACCAGATACGGAGCAGGTGTAGTGCAACCTTTAGCGTACATCTACCACTCAGAATGGGATAGCCAGCAGTGCAGATACAACAAACGACGGGAGCACTTAGAATCAGGGTTGTACAAGCAATCAGAGCCACAGACCCATCAGGCGCAGAGAGCGCGTGGCGCATTCTTTTGGGTAGCACTCAGAACGGGATGGGATATCATGGAGCGAGACGGACAAGCTCAACCACGATGGGTACCACGGCTCACGCTCCTTCGACACACGCGACAAGCACGTCGGTCTGACAACGGCAGCGATATTTGTCGGAAATGACCCTCGGGAAGCACCATTGCTTACTATAATAAAAGACCAACGTGTCAAGATATCAGAGTGAGCCGCCCTAACATATCTGTACCCATTTCCTGTCCTTTATGCCACCTTCTTCCCTTCTCTTGACACCGCCCTTCTGCCATTTAGATGCCTCCTTCCTTTCCTCTAGACACCTCATTTCTGTCCTTTCAGACACTGCCTTGCTGTCCTAGTAATTACCGCTTTGCTTCCCTACAGACCCCGCCTTTCCGTCCGTAAGACACCTCATCCCTGCCTTAATAGCTTCTTCCACCCGTCCTCATGGCTACCTCCTACCTGGCAGGGCGGCTGCAGCTCGCTATTTCCGCCAACCCCTGTACAAGTTTTTTTTTTCCGCATCAACTCTGGCGCTAGTCTAAACCATTCGGTATCTTTTTACAATCAGCGCTAACAGCATTCTGCCGCGTTCTTCAACCCGTGATCACACGGAAGGTACATACCGCATACGTCATGACACAAGATAACACACCCCCTGGACCGATTTTCAAAGCTCGATTACTCCACCACCACGAGGATGCACAAACGAAACGAAACGAAACGTTTTCGGAGAGATCTCTCTCGACCAGAAGGCTTCAACGCCGCCGTTTTCGGCGCTGCGACTCTCACTACTGTTAACAAACCGAGCTTTGAAAATCGGTCCGGAGGTATGTTATCTTGTGCCGTTTACGGTAGTCAATGGTGTGTCGGTCGGGGTCACCCAGGACGAACGCAACACAGCCAGGGAAATCTTCACGTCTTGCCTGAAAAGCCTGTAGCAAACGCCGGGCGCCTCACGCCCGGCCCGTCCCGCCCTCTGCGTCGCCTGGGCCTTGGAAATGTCCTGAGACCGCAGGAACTCCATACCCGTGGAAGCTTGGAACGAGCGAACCTGTTTGCGGGACACCATGCGGGACACCATGAATAATTTCGCGGGAAAACAGGCATCATTTGGGGGTCACCATGAATCATTTCGCGGGACACCATGAATCATCGACCAATGACAATCGGCAGGGAGGTACTGTAGCGGGGATTTGGAGAGAGAGAGAGAGGGGGGGGGGGGGGGG